ATTATAATCTATAACATAAATATGTTCAGATTATAATCTATAACATACATATGTTCAGATTATAATCTATAACATGATCAGAGCCTTTGGGTTCTTGGTCCTGAAGTTTCCGTTGTCGTACAGTTCACTGAATATTTGGCTAAAAGTCTGAAGGACAAACCTGCAAACTGATGGATCAATAACTCTGATGAGTCCCGCTGTGAGATAACATCTGTGTTCTTATTGGTTATTGATCATTTCTGATAACTCCTGATTGAACCAAACAGTTTGCAGGTTATCACAGACGGTTCAATATAAACAGTCAATATGAGTGCAAAGGCATGCAGCACCACCTCCACCTTTACCTCCACCTCCATCTTTGCCTTTACCTCCATCTTTACCTCCACCTCCACCTTTATCTGGAGCCCAGAGGAACTCGTTGTTCCAGGATATAAATCAGAGATTAAAACATTCGTGGACAAACGTTGTCACCGTCAGTGTCCGTGCAGAAGGGTGTTGGATAAAGTTATTTACATGGACGTAACAGTGGCGTCGGTGGAGCAGCTTTAACATGAATCCATCCTGCTGCTGGTCACCATGAACATGACAACCACTGTGTAGTGATGCACAACACATAGAGATGCATTCATGCTGCGCTGATGAGGACTAAAGGTCCCGAATTCAGACAGGAAGTCAGTTTGTTTGGTTCAAAAGTGAAAGTGACTGAATTATTATGAATGACATACATCAAAACATCACGGTGTTGTTTCCTGATCTAAGTTACAAACATCAACGTTGACTTCTGCTTTCAGACGGACATGAACAGCAGACTCCTGGTGAGAGCCCTGTGTGTGTGTATGTGTGTGTGTGTGTTTGTTTGGTTAAAAAGTCCATATTCTCTGATGTCACAAACTGTGTTTATTTACATGGTGTGAATCTACTGAATATATTTAATTTATTTCTTTTTATATAAAACATGTCATTTATGTTGTAAACATGTCAATGTGTATCTGTAGCTCACTGCATGAAACGTGTTATTGTGAAGAGAAGATATGTCTATTCAAATGTAACAAATGTTGGTTTTACTCGTTTGTTTAAAATATTAAAATGGCATCAAATTTGAAATGAATTCAACATCATGTGAAAGAGATGAACAGGAATTCGGGACCTTGAAGTGAAATAATGTGTTGGTGCTGCGTTCATGTTCATCAGGGAGAATACAATACTCAGATGCAGCTACTGTCAGTGTTCAGTCAGTGTTCATCAGAAAGTTCATCAGACGGCCAGAAACCGGCCGCGAGCCACAGTTTGAAACACATCCGAGTAAAGACGAGTGTGTTAGATGTTTGTCCAGAACCTTAAACATTCTGGTGTTTTTATATTTCAGCCCATTAAACTCTCTTTAGACCAATAATAGATATTTAGACAGAAATGTTGAATATATTGATCTAATCACAGATTATTCTTCACTTCTAGTATTTTATTCTTTAAATGTATTTTAATTTTTAATATTTTTTGACAAAGTGCTTTACAGAGAAAAATACCATAAAGTTAATTTAAATTATTACATTTAAAAAGTAAATTTGCAAAACTCACTGAATATTTAAAGTACAAAGTGAATTTAAAGTAAGCAATAGAAAAACAAAGAAACAGGAAATTAATACAATATTGAAAAAAAGTCACAATTTGTCTCTTTTGCATTTTTGATCTCAAAACAATTTAATATTTTCTGTAAAGTAAAATAAAATAAAGTTAGATTTCCCTGTGAAGTGTTCTTTGGTGTATTTTGAATAATACTTTTGTACTTTTACTTCAGTAAGATTTTGAATGCAGGACTTTTACTTGTAACAGAGTATTTCTACACTAGTTTTACTGCAGTAAAGGTACCGAGTACCTGGTTCATGTGGTTCTGTTGTGGATCAGGTCTCAGAGATAAAACCGCTCCACAGCGCCTCTAGTGGCCGGAAGCTGAATAAAAAGCCTTTAAACTGAGTAGCAGTATGTTATATATATGTTGTATATTTATATTTGATTACAATAAAATAGTTATAGATACATTATTAGATTGTGGGGGGAAATATTACATCTTTAATCTGTGATATATTTACACTGTCGTGCTCTTTAATAAACACAAACACCATGAAACCTCAAAGAGATCCATATTCATACCAACGCTTTTATGTTGGTTAATAAACGTTCTTATTTTTCTGCAAAGCACTTCAGGTCAACATGAACGAGCGGACCTCAAACGCACCATCGGGCCTCTGATGGACTACAGTGAACTGTGATTGATTATCTTGAAAAGTGATCATGAACCTGAAGGACTCTAAAAAAAACACCAGGATGGCCCTCTAAATGGACCTGCTCGAGGCCTGAAGGCTCATCTCTGGTATTCTCTCCCGGTCATGTGACTGCTAACTTCCATCCGGTTTCTCTCCGTCCTCCCTTAAACCCTAACTCCTGCTGATCCTCCTCCTCCAGCTACCACATGTAAGTCTTTGTGGTGTCGATCTGACTCCCCCCCGCCTGCTCCTCCTCCTCCTCCTCCTCCTCCTCCTCCTCCTCCTCCCTCCTCCTCCTCCTCCCCCCCACCTCCCTCTCCTCCTCCTTGTCCTCCTTGTCCTTCTCGGCCTCACTCTCCCACAGCGTGATGAGCGGCGGGTACAGCTCGCTCAGTGGGATGGAGGTGGCGTGCTGCATGTACTTCTTCAGCGAGTGTCCGCAGGTCTTGTGCTGCTGGACCCGGCGGCCCATGTAGACCACCAGCAGCGCCATGATGCTCAGAGCGAACATGGAGCCCATGACGGCCGCCAGCGCCATGCTGCTGTGCCGCGACGCCACCAGCTCCACCGAGAATCCCGCCTCCTTGGTGGTGATGTTCAGACAGGAAGTGTGGACGGGGGAGGAGGAGAGAGGGGAGTAGGAGCTAGGGGAGGAACTAGGGGAGGAGAGAGGAGGAGAGGAGTAGACGGTGAGGCAGACGTGGTACTCTGTGGCAGGAAGGAGGTGAGTCAGATTATACTCCTGAACGTCCACTGGAACCTGGAGAGAGGGGGGGGGGGGGGGACTATAGAGAGACAGTGTGATGACATCACTTCCTGTCCAGCCTCTGTTCCACTAGCTTATCTGTCAGTCAGAAAATAATGAAGTTCATTTATTCTAAGACAAACACCTGATCTAGACCTCGTAGAATCACTACTGGGGTCCCTCAGGGTTCCGTTCTGGGTCCCCTCCTCTTTCCTCTCTACACCAGGTCTCTCTATGTCTCACTTTAGCTCTTTTTTTAGGTGTTTCTAGTGTGAATGAGTTCACCTTGGCGGTGTAGCTGATCTGAGGGTTGTCGATGTGCACGGTGGCGCTGGTCCAGCGGGTCAGACGGAGGGGGGCGGTGTCCTGCTGGTTCTGACCCCCAGAGGAAGGTCTTCCACTGGGGAACAGCTTCCACTCCAACACCACCGACTGGGCATGCACCACCTGCAGAGGAAACAGAGAACCACCGTAAAATCTGGATCAGTTTCAGGGATCGGAAATGAGTCTGAATTTTATATAAATAAGAAGTGTATTTAAATAACACTTTATAATAAGTTTACAGCCGGTACCTTGGCCAGCACCACCAGAGAGGCTGCAGCGCTGGACGAGTTACCCAGCTCTCTGCTGGACCCACCGCTCCCCCACCGGATCCCCCAGCCGGGCCACGAGTCCACAGACCCCTGAGAGTCCACGAACACTGAGACGCTCTTTGTGTCTGCGCCCTCCGCGTTCCACGCTACACAGGTATACACACCTGAGAGAGACGGACGCAAAGGGATCTATAGTTCTGCATGCATGTACATCAATATAAATATACATACAAACATTAGTGCTGGGCAACGATTACAATGTTTAATCGCGATTAATCTCATTGTTATGGCAAAGTTCAATAATGAATTCAAAAGTAGTGTATTGCGCACTTTTATTTTAAAGTACTGCTCTATGAACAAAAGGTCAATAACATTTGGTGTAAACACTTTAAACACATCAGGTTGTTGTTAGCAGCAGTATTCCCTTTACACAGCAGCAGTTCTATCTCTTCACTATCTGTGCTCAGTGTGACAGAACGATGCAGGGGACGTGTTCAAAAGGCAGATGTCTCGCAGCAGCGATCATATTTCTTGCAGCGATGTCCAGTAGTCTCCAGTGAGAGCAGCAGCTGCTGCACGTTGTAACACCGTTGCTTTAGTCGTCCTCTCCTTTAACACAACTCGTGTGTTCTTCTGGTGACGGTGCGTCTTGAGGCTCATACGTGACGTCATTCGTTGAGATCCTAAAGGTGCGTTCACGACATCTTCCACAACACTAACCTGCAGTTTGTCTCCACTTCTCTGTAGCATCTGTTAGCTTGTGTTGCTTTAGTTTATCTCTACTTCTCCCACACGCTGCATCAACGTAGTCTGAAGACTTCCTCCACCGCTGCCAGTGAGCAACGCACTTTACAAATAATAATTAAAAAATAAAATGCGTTAACGCGATAATAAGGCGTTACTTGCCCAGCACTACTAAATATATATATATAAATAAATATTTCTATATACACACACACACACACACACACACACACACACACACACACACACACACACACACACACACACAGTATGTACAGTGCCCCCTGCAGGCCGGATGTGAACCAGCAGCTCAGACTGACCTGCGTCTGACGGCTCTGCGTGTTCAATCACTAGCGCTCCGGGCTCTGACACGCGATGCTTCTTCTTCTTCTTCTTCTTCTTCCTGCGGCTCAGGCCACGCCCCTCCTCCGATACAATTGGTGCAGCCACCGCCTCCGAGCTCACCTGGACCAGGTGAGGAAGGAAACAGAGAAAACACTCATCAGTGACAACATCGGTTTCTATCAACATGCACCAACAGGGAGACAAACACTTGTGACCACGCCCACCTTATCTCCAGTGGGCGTCACCCAGTAGAACTGGGGGGCGGGGTCAGCGTCCGCCCAGCACTCCAGTGTGATTGGCTGCCCGGCGCTGACGTTCATGGCGGGTGGGAAGGCGTGGGGGGAGATGTGGGGCAGGCAGCTGTTGGCCCCGCCCCCACCCCCTTCAGCCCCGCCCCATCCGAAGCCCACCACCTCCTGCAGCTCCTGACCAATCAGGTGAGGTGGGGAGGAGCAGAGGGTGATGGAGGACTCCAGCATCTTGAGGTGAGACTGATTGCCGAGGTGAGGCCCCCAGGAGGTGAGACAGTCACATCGCAGAGGGTTGGAGTGGAGAGACACCTCCTCCAGGGAAGGGAGGGAGGAGAGGAGGTCTCCAGAGAGGAGGCTCAGCTGGTTACTGTGGACCAGGAGAGTCCGGAGGGAGGGCAGCTCACTGAGGACACAAGGAGAGGACAGAAGGAAACAAGGATAGGAGGAAAGAAGAAAGTAAAAAAAACATTAGAGACAGAGAGACAGACAGACATGGAGAGAGAGAGACAGAGAGACAGACAGACATAGAGAGAGAGAGAGAG